GTCTAATAGTTTAGAATAATACAGCAGGGAAGAGAAAAAATATTATCCTTATGTTTTACTGTAAATTCCATCCAGTACAAGAATCACATCATTGGTTTCAGTTGACTATGGTCAAATTATTACTCTTATTGTTACTCCTCCACCTCCTCCTCCTTTTAGCACAAATGTTGCATATTTCATTGCTGCAGAATACAGTAAGTTTATTTCTACTAATGTTCAAGCTTATCAATAATTAATTTGTATTTAAAACTCTTATAGACTGAAATCATGCCTTTCTTCCTATTATGAATGGGATCTTTGATTCCATATTGACTACACAGGAAATACAATATCATGCTTGACTCAGAAGGTAGAGAATCCAAAGAGAGTGACTCGCCAAAGAGGACATGCTGTGATATGAACCGGAGACTTCTATAAAACAAGTTTGTTGTTTTTAAAACACGTTAAAACAAAATTATTGGCATGACTTCATCATCTTCAAAAGAAAAATACTTAAGAAAAATTTAACCCATTGCTCTTAACAGCATTTAATTTACACAGCTTGAGTATCCTTCCTGTACATGTTATTGGGAGTTAACAGAACAATATTAAACATCTTTAAATAAAATAAGAATTTTGGTATGAAAGGAATTAATTTATCATAAATATTATCAGGGCTGCTAACTAATAATGCTACCAATGACATATTTTCAGCATAATTTTATATATGTATAGCAAGAAATCACCCCCCAGGTACAATCCAAGGAAATTTACTTGTTTAGTTGTACTTGTACTTGTTTAGTTAGGATCCATATAACTATTGTATTTATTAATTTTGTTTTGTTTTGTTTTGTTTAGAAAGGGCAATTGGGACCTACCTTACATGAATTATTTGTCTATCTTCTACAATGATTTCTAGGAGAAATGCATATATTATTTCAAGAGAGCTGGTAACACAGATTTGTATGAAATTATTTCCTTTGACTTGTTACCCATTTTCCTCTACTTGGTGCTTTCCAAATGTGTGAGACTTCAGTTCCCACAATCCTTAACCAACATAGCCTATAGCTAGGGAAGTCCCATAAATCTGGAATGCATCATCTTGGGGCTGTTCTATCTTTTTCTAAAGATTTCCAGCATGACCTTTATCTTTTTCATAGCAGCCACAGTTCAGTTTTAACTGCACTACTCAAGGCAAGCCCAAGATCAGTTTCCTCTTTAGACATTGCGTATATATACCCATGCTTATGGTAAATGGCAACAGTCCTTTTAACACGCTCTCCTGCATCGTAGAGAAATTATTATGGACTCTAAATTACTCAGAATAACTGCATCACCAGGAAGCTTGGCCATTTCACTGCCAGTAAATTATTTTTTACAAACCTATTTGGACTGTTTTTTTTAAATACTGATTCTTTTTATGTTTCTCAAGCAAAAAAACTGTCCATTTCTGGATTTTTTGCTTCTTCTTTTACATACAATCACTGATTCATATTATTGATTTATCCTATACCTGCTACTCATAAACCATTATTGACTAATTTGGTTTTTAAACATCAAAATACACTATGCCTACCATCTTCTGTTGTATAAGTAACACCATCAGAAATTTCTGTGCTGTAATTACAATGGAGAGAATACAGAGAGATGTATATCAATTTACATTAGGCTACATGACAATTTATATTAGATTTACATTGAAATTTCACACTGAAATAAAGAGGGGAACAAGTGAAATAAATATTTTAATCATGTATAAATATACAAAACCAATTATTTCACACTTTTGAACACTGGAAATATAAGCATTCAGCAAATTCAATTACATCCATCTAGGTTTTAATGTCAAATTAACAAAAGTAAAGCTGGCAGACTATTAGTGAGGATCATGTTTCTTATCTTGTATAAATGTAAGCTTTGCCAAAAAAAATCTATCTCAATCTTCATTTCTTATAATCTATACCATGTACGCCACCTTCTACTGACAACAAAAAGTAACTAAAGTAATTTTCCAAGCATTTGATGAAATGTAGTACTATATCTAGTGTATAAAATTTTTTTTGTCTGAAGTGGTGTAGGGTTTCCCCCCTAAGCAGGAGGTTGGACTAGAAGACCTCCAAGTTCCCTTCCAACTCTGTTATTCTATTCTATATCTAATATAAAGTAGTTAATGGTGTAAAATAGACCATTTTTTTTCTTTTGTTGCAACAGACAACTATGTATTTCCCTTCACTTGCCTTTAATACATGTGTTTTTGCTTGCACAGAACCAGCTATTGGCTGGGGTCATATTGCATTTCTTTTTGCCTCTGCAGTCATGGATAACTTACTACGGAGCAAGAAGGGAGAAACAAATACCTAGCAAAGTCAATATGGTAGAGATCCCTTGAGGGAAAAAGAACCAGAGAGGCCCACTCTGCAGATGACCAGTTATAACTTAACATACTTTCAGATGAGTAAATGATTACACATTACTTTAAGAGAACTTCCTTATAAGATAATTAAGAACAAAATTGCAATTATATTTGCTTTTTTTCTAATTTGTAAAATTACATATACAGAAAAGAACAATTTCAGTAACATTTGTCCTTCACTAGCTATTCTCAGATTATGAAAACAATGCTGCAATCTAAACAGATGGGATATTGAATAGTCAACTCAGTATTTCTATTCTACTAATAAGTATACATATTAAACCAGCAAACGATTAAATGATACAAAAATTCAAACAGGGTGCTTGCTGGCACTATACAAATGGCAGCACTATTAACTGCCCCTATTATACAATGTAGGTGGAAAAGTATTTAAACAGATAATTTCAGAAGCTAGAATCACCTATGTATTTATATGAATGAATCCTTTCATTCTTTTTTTTAAATTGCAGCACATGAAATAAAAAATACAACAAATAGCCAAAGAAGGCCAATGTTAAGAATGATGTTTGGAACTTGCATTTATAAAGCACATTTAATAAAGCAATAGCAATAATTCACAATATGGGATTGAAAACAGAAAATGTTACATATTTTATCTCACCGCTGCTTCTGTTCCCAATCTTTCAAAAGCAGTATGGAGGGGATTTATGATCTTCAGATTTGCTGACCTCAAAACATACAACAGTAGCCAGGAGTCACTACCTCCTGACTGGATGGACATAGGCTTGCCTTCCTAGTCTGTCACTGATATTAATGCATAGGTCCTCCAAGGACATTCTAGTATCTCTTTGATCCCATTCATCTGCTTTTTCCATTCTCTTCTCCATCTATTTCCCTCAACCCTGACAAGCATATTAGTTTTTCTAGGCCTTCATCTGCATCTATCATATGCCCAGATATTTGAGTTTCTATTGTTGAGAGGTCATTCTTTATTTTTTCTAGGCTAAATTTATTCCAGCTACCTTCTCTTACAATCCTGACATTTTATAATCTAACCTTTATATATATTAAATATAAATAAGAAAGCATTTTTGTTTTGCTCCATCATCAACAATTCTTGCAACAGCTTTTCACTGTTTGCACATTCTCTTGTATCACCCTTTTTTTGTGCGGGCATATATACCAATCTTTTCCAGTCTCAAAGCCAGTCATATTTTCTATGACACAGAGCTGTTAATACTTTAATTCCCTCTTCTTCTAGAACTATAGACATTTTAACAGGTTCTCTTCTATTTCACAGTAGATATATACAATGGTGTAGTACATTTTTAAACTGCAGTAGCTTTCAGTTTATTGCCAACACATACAGTGCCTCACAAAATCTTTTTTGAGTAATATTGTCACATTATTCTTTCATAATGTGAAATGGGGTGGAGTGGAGGAGAGATATTGCCTAGGGAATTACCAGATAAAAGGGGCAGGAATCTGTAACTGAATGACAGAGAAAGTGAGTTAGAAAGGAAATATAAATAATATATAATAAATAATCCTAAATAATCAGTGGTAAAAAGAAAGGAGATTTGTACTTTCAGACTTGTAAGATTCTGCTAATGTAGCCTTACAAAAAGTAGAATTAGTTCATCTTGTATTTTCTGTCTGGTATATTTGGGAGACTACACCGATGAACTCCTGCTTTGTAGATAACTGGAGTGCATTTGAATATGAAAGGCAAAACAATATGAAAAATCCTTTTTATCCCATAAAGTGCATTTATTATCTGTACATCTGCTATCCCCTTTGGTAGATTCCATAAGTCCTCAACAATTTTCACCATAATATATTGCTAGAATAATTTTTGGTCGCTTTTATAGGGCCACAAGAACACGGGCTCTTGTCTGACGCTGTGTTATGTTATTATTTGAAAATACGCTCTCCGGAAGAAAACGGAGCCTCTTCTGAAGGCTCCCCTTCCTCCCTGAACGGTATTGCTGATGGCAGCCACAGCTGCCTTTCAGGAGAAACGGTTGTCTAGCCTCAATTTAAATAACTCCAATGAAGATGAATCCACTATTTCCGAAGCGGTTTGTTAGGAAACAAAAGATGCTTTTCCCCCACCAACTTCTTACATCATCTGCTTTTTCCCACTCACGGATACCGGGCTGGCCCCTCCGGAGCAGCGGAGACCAAGTCTGTCTTACACAGATCACCTTTCAGGATACTAAGAATTCCTGTACCTTTAAATTTCTCGTGTAGAAGCTAACCATGGCTGGGTTTTTTCCCTCCCCTCACGTGCGATTTTTTCCCTAACCATCCGCACCCGAGTTCGGTTAATTAAAAAAGACCGAAACCCTTAAAGGGAATCTCAAGTTGTGCGGGTAACCGCGTAGACCTCAGCCTGTCAAAACGAGGAGCAGCCCAAGGCTCCTCCTTGCCTCCATGCCAAAAGCGCTCCTCCTCCAACGCCGCCTCCCCCGCCACCCCGCCAAAACACCTTAGCAACAAGAGGCGAACCAAGCACGCACGCCTGCGCTTGCGCCCTTGGCTTCCTCCTCCTTCTCCTCCTCCCCACCTCCTCCTCCTCCCCGTCGCTTGTCCCTGTGTGCAAGGGGCGGTCTCTTCCGGTTCATGTAGGAACAGAGGAAGCCGGGCGGCCATCTTGGATCATCCGGGAGCGGCCGCTGCTGCCGCCGCTGCTGCTGCTGCGGCTACTGGTTGAGAGAGCCAAGGGAGCTGGTTTGGCGGAGGCGGAGGGTTCTCTTCTGACAGTGTTTCCAACCCGGCAAGCCTCCAGGCTGTGACGGAAGGGTCTTACTCCTTGGGTCTGAGCCTTCCCCTTTGGGATAGGGGATAGTAGGCAGCGAAGGAGTTAGGAGTTCTCCTGGAGAAGAAGGAAGAGGAGGGGGCGCAATTAAGACACGAGAGCCCGAGGCCCGGTGAAGCGACCCGTGTAGAGCTAGAAAACGGCTGAGGGCTTGGCCCGCTTCCCTTTGACCAGCTCCGAGTGGTTGGTTGCTTGTTCTTTCGCAGCCGACGGTGGTTGAGCGGAAAGCGGCTGCTGGTTTCCCACTTTTCCTTCCTCAGCAGCCTGCTAGTTGGGCTGTACCGTGTTGCTGCAGCGCCCTGCTCGCTCCATCTCTCCCGGCTCCCCGCTTTTTCTTTCCTCTTAACGGCACCGGACAATTTTTAGCCCGTTTTTTTCTTTTCTTTTGGTGCTCCATGAGAATCTCCTCCAATCTGTCGTCCCCACCTTCTAAAGACCGTAATCTGTCTATAAGATGATTCCTGAAGATTCCCAGGGGGATATAATGCTTCATTATCAGACTGGAAGATAGATGAGAAAGAGGGGTAGCGGTGGTGGAGAAAAATCACTCAAATTTCTCTCTCCCGCACTACCTTTTCCTTTGATGGTGGCACTTAATAACTGCTATCATGCTGTAAAACCACATTTTTTTGTAAATATATATATGTATATGTGCTCGGGGGGAGAGAGGTGTTAGGATTTTTTTTATTTTTATATAATAAATCGTTGGATTTTGCCATTGCAAACGGTGCTTCAGCTAAGTGAATGAAAATGTCTACTAGAACTCCATTGCCCACGGTGAATGAACGGGACACTGAAAACGTGAGTGCGCTTAAGGATTCTTCATTGGTATAATGCGTAGCTTCATAGTAACTGAATACCATTTTAATAATGTCTATCATACGAAGTATAAGTGTATGCAGATCCTTGGATTAATGAAAAAAACCTTTTGTTTTCAGTGAAAAAATCAATGTAAAAAGATAGCATGTAGAGAAATAGTCTATGTTCATTTAAAATATAGCTTAATATTACATAGGGAATTCTCTACCACAGCAACCTTTTTTTTAGTGGAAGCTGAAAATCTGATAATGGCTATTTTTTACAGGTTGTTGCAAAATGTCAATTGGAAGTAAATTGTTATGAGGCCTGCCTGGTGTAATAACCTTCCTTTTCTATTGTTTTTGGAATCCTGCTTTTTTCCTCACCTCTTTTTCAAAATATGCCTCTCATGCTTAAAAATGTGTTTTCAGAAGACAATGGAGAATTGAGAAATGAACATACGTTCTTGGACATAAAATACATTAGTTGCTAAAAAGGGATCATGAATACATATATTGTGAAAAAGACTGTGTCATTTGTTCTGACAGATAATGAACAATATTACCTACAGTAAATACGTATTTTTCATATCTAATGTGTATTTCCTTTAACTATTTAAACTTTGATACTGATATTTAGTAGGGTAATATTCAGTTGCTTCCTTTTTGGGTGGTAGTGAAGAGGAATTATCCATTCTTAAATTGTACATTTGCTAATTTCATGCATATTGAAAAAAACACTGTTCTGGTATTTTTAACAGCATGAAACAGCTTAGATAAAGATGTTTTGTGGAAATTTAAAATGAAAAGCTGTATGTTGAACCCAAGCATTTGTCTTGGACTGTCACTAACAGATAATCAAAGAAATCCAATACTGTACATAATATATTGATTGATAGAGAAGTCATAAGAAATAAATACTTATATTTGTATTTGGTTTGATTGCAAGCTAATAGTAAACTGGAAGCTTATTAGGTTCCAAGAAAGGAAAATGTTAAGTTCCATTAGGATTTTAAATGCAGGAATAATAAATATACCTGAATGTTTTATAATGGCTTTTTAATCAATTCAACTTATTACTCAGTTCACTGTTATTAATGGAATGTGATTGACCCAGGTTTAGACACAAGAAAATATGTTTAGAATAATTGTATTATCAAGGTTTTGTATGCACTATCATTGTTGATAAAACTTTTCTCCTTTGTTTACTTTAGCTCTTGATACAACCTGCAGAATTGTGTTCCGCAAAAGTTAAATGCAGAAATTCAGCTATAGAACATTTTGAACTTCAGTTCAAGCCTTCAAAGTTTCATTTTAGATAAAATTGTTCAGAATTAGATATTTCTGTAAATCATGGTCATTCTGAGAACTATTTAGTAGGATTATTCATATACACTTTCCTTAGATCTTTTAGTGTTGTTTACATCAATCACTTAATGTAATTTAGAAGCCATGTGTGAAAATTGCCCTCCAATACAATTAATGAAGTTCCAGAATATACTTAAATAGCTTATTAATGTATCATTGTTATTTAAAAAAAGAACACCATGGAATATTTGTCAGTCTGAAGTATGCATGTTTCTTGAGAAAACCTATAGTAGGGGTTTAGAAATTAGTGTAGCAGATTACTTTTTCTTAAAACTGCTGGCAATAATCATTTCTATAAACAATTTCAGGTTTTGGTATTCTGAAATAGGATGGCTTATTCTGAACCTATAATTTTTGACATGTCTTTCTGGAATTATTTTACTATGCTTATAAGTTTAAACTGTTTTAGTTTCTGTGTCTGGTTTCATTCACACATATTGTAAGTTTAAGATTTTTATTCATGTTGTGTTGAACAAGTCTTTGTAGTTTGATTCAGAAACTGTAATGAGTAGGCTTGCACATCACAGCAAGACTAAAACGAATAATATTGCTTAACACTACAAGTGAATTTGGCTTTGATTGTGAGATTCTATATACAGTACTCTCGTTCATATTTTAACATGAATAAATGCTCATTTGTATTCTAGCAATATTTTTCCATTTGTAACATCCATCCTGGGGGTGGCTTTCACATTTGATATTTTCCTTGCAAGCAATAACTATCAAACATAGGGGGAACCTAAATTTAATGGGCAATCCCTCTTCCAGTTTAATACATTTTTGATACCACTGGAAACATCCCCACAAAATATTGGACATGACTATTGTATCCAAAGTAGGCTAGAGAAGGCATCTTTAAAAATAGAGAACTTCCATTAAGTTTATTTAAATGTCATTTGCATCATTATGATAAACTAGAACATTTGGGAAAGATGGAGACATAAAAGGTCTATTAATCAAATATTCATTTGATTGTACAGTACATGGAAATAACTCTGTTTTACACAGTATTCTTAAGAATATTTAATACACATCTATACGCCCCCATTGTCTTTGCACTGTTCCTAAAATAAACCTAATTTATTTTAGAGGGAGAGTCAGTTTGGTGTGGTTAAAGCATCAGGCTAGAAACTAAGAAACTGTTCCCACCTTAGGCATAATGCCAGCTGGGTGATTTTGGGCCAGTCATTCTCTCTTAGGAAGAAGAAACTGGCAAGCTACTTCTAAAATTGTTGCCAAAAAACTACAGGCTGTTGCCAGGCATTCAAGACACAGATTTAGTTCGTTACTGAGTTTCTTCTAGACTATATACTTGCAGTGACTTGGACCTGCTTTCCCTGCCTGATATTTGCAGATGTATTGCACCACAACTGCTGTCAAGCCTAGTTAGCATAACCAATAGCTATGCACATAAGCAGTGTTGAACATAAGCAGAGTTTAAGACTTTTAGAGAACCCCAGGTTCGGTAAAATTGAATTATGTTAAATTGGAAAACATTGTTCTTATAAGGCATGTGTTTGAATTGTACTTTTATGGGGACTGTAAACGAACTACACATCTTACTCAATTATTAAAAGACCCATTTGTAGCATGAAACAAATAGATGAAATCAGACTTTGCAATGGCACCATAAAATGTTTCATAGATCAGTTACTATGCTTAAATTAAAAATAATAAAATTTAAGTGATTTACCAGTATGAAAACAATGTGGTATTCCAATGTGGTGCCTTTGCGTGCAGTCTTTCTCAATAGTCCAGGGTCTTCATAGTAAATTATGTACTATTAATTCATAAATCAAACTGCCTATGCTGAGTGACTTGTTTTAAATGATATTCTTTTAAATTATATAGTATAGGTTAGGACATTACTATAAATGTGAATCAAGTGTATTTGCTGATGCATTTTATGAATTTATAGACTGCTTCAGTCATTGGCTGTCACAACCAATATACCACTATAACTACATCACCAAAAAGGCATTAAGAGTTGTTAACCTAATCTTACGTAGCTTTTTCTCTGGTAATATCACACTACTAACTAGAGCATACAAAACATTTGCTAGACCAATACTCGAATACAGCTCATCAGTCTGGAACCCACATTTCGTATCTGATATTAGCACAGTTGAAAAAGTCCAGAAATATTTCACAAGAAGAGTTCTCCACTCCTCTACTCGTTGTAGAATACCTTATGCCACCAGACTTGAAATTCTAGACCTAGAAAATCTTGAATTACGTCGTCTTCGGTCTGATATAAGTATAGTATATAAAATCATACATTGCAATGGCCTACCAGTCAATGACTACTTCAGCTTCAACCATAACAACACAAGAACACACAGTAGATACAAACTCAAGGTTAACCGCACCAAACTTGATTGTAGGAAATACGACTTCAGCAACAGAGTGGTCAATGTCTGGAATACTCTACCTGACTCTGTAGTTTCTTCCCCAAACCCCAAAAACTTTTAACCTTAGACTGTCTACTATTGACCTCACCCCTTTCCTAAGAGGTCTGTAGGGGGCATGCATAAGCGCACCAACATGCCTACCGTCCCTGTCCTATTTCTTTTATTTTTCTTATATGTACCCATTTCATGTATTCATAACTATGTATATACTTATAGCTATTATCTTGTAAGCGATTGACAAATCTAAATAAACAAAATAAATAATCACATATAATTTATTTTCATGATGCAGTGTTAATGGCCTTTTACTTGGAAGCAATTTCACTGGAGATTGGTCTTGTGGTGAAGGCATTAGGTTAGAAGAGAGAAAGGGCTAGAATCAGTTCTAGCCCTTTCTTAGGCACGAAGCAAGCCGAATGACCTTGGATCAGTCATTCTCTCTCAATCCTAGAAAGGAGACAGTAGTAAACCATTTCTGAAAAGCCTTGCCAAGAAAACTGCAGGGACTTGTCCAGGCAATCTCAGAATCTGACACGATAGAACTGAAGAAAAACAATCCACTGAGGTTATTAGAGATGGAGTTATTCTTGTATAAATATTAATGCAGTTGTTTTGGGAATGAAAATCAAGCATAAACTATATTTATCATCTTAGGGATACTTAACAGTTATATTTACATTATACATTATACAATATATATATTGGAATATGGAAGTTTCACAGCATTTTTTTATTGGTGTTTTGGGGTTTTTCAAAGCAGTTAAATAATATGAATCACGCACACTTGTATAAATAAATAAAAATTAGGGTTGACATTTGATCTTTACATTCCTGAATTCCCAAGTTCACATATCTCTGGGATTTTATTTCTAAGAGAATTTTGGGGGCAAAAATGACTTCTTAAAGTAGCCTTATGTTGCATAATGAAATTGAAATCTAAAAAGATACTTTCTAACACAAATCCCAGATCTTTGCCTATTGGGTGTTATGGTTTCATACATAGATAAATAGAATTCTTTATTGGCCAAGTGTGATTGGACACAGAAGGAATTTGTCTTGGTGCAAATGCTCTCAGTGTACATAAAAGATATATTTGTCAAGAGTCAAAAATCACAATAATCATAGGGTACAATAAGCAATCAAACCATACTAGGAAACAGTCAATATAAATCAAAAGGATAAAAAGTTACAATCATACAGTCACAAGTGGGAGGGGATGGGTGAT